AGACACTCTTCTCTGATTAATTTAATTTTTCTCATTTTATACCAAAAGGAATTCCGAATAGGCTCGCTACTTTCTTTTCCTCTTCTTCTCGTCTGATCGGCTAGTTTGGTCAGAACTGAGTAGCGAAAAAAAAAAAATTTACATTGAGCACTATTTTGTAAAAATAAAAATATCTATAAAAACACCGGATTATATATCTTACTGTTCTTTCTTTCTTTTTATATATATATATATATATATATATATATATATATATATATATATATGCAATATATTGTATATATTATTTATATATTATGTGCGCGGCGCTTCACGCTTTTGCGATCGTCAGACAAAATATTTTCAATATATAATTTTCAAACATTTTTATTGAAATTCACTGATAAGGTCTGATAAGGTTCATTTTTTATTTTTCCAGTTTGCGTATCCGGATCAGCTTGTCTGCCGATTTCATTAGAACATGTTTGAATGCATTCTTACTGTCGAAATATACATTATATACCTATATCTATCTATTTATCTATCTATCTATATATATATATATATATATATATATATATATATATATATATATATATATATATATATATATATATATATATATATTGTGTGTGTGTGTGTGTTATCCTTTGATTCCAGAAACGTACTTTGTATCAAAGTCAATTTCAACTTTTGAATAACGAATTTCCATGTTGAGAACTGATACATTGTGCCCTTGTAATATTGAGGATCCAACCCAGATAAAACAAATGTATGGGTAATTTAGAATTTGAATATTCTGTCGAGCATTCAGTATTGTTTTCCTCCAGCAGGCAAAGAAACTTTTTAAATATATATATATATATATATATATATATATATATATATATATATATATATATGTGTGTGTGTGTGTGTGTGTGTGTGCAAAAATTTCAGATCTATAAAAAAGTACAATATGAATAAAGACAAAAGGAAAACTTGGCCGATACGTTTTGTTCTGCGGGAAAACTGCCTCGTCAGTCATGTATCGAAAGATACATGATCGCCCAAGCGTGTATTAAATATGGCACTTAACTGAATACTCACCATAAACATTACCTCTCATTAAAACACAAGACCTTATAAGTTACAAAACAGGCAAAACTCCCACCTCCTAATATCATTACTACATAGTAGTAAGCTAAGGTAGTATCAATAAAGATTCCGCATTGTTCAGACCTATTGATTTAACTCATTGTTTTATATCGTTCTTATTCATGTTCATTTGTTATTAACGCTTGTGAGAATATATAAAATTATTACTCATAGAACACCAGTAACACTAAATGCTTACAATAATACGAAAATTCCAATCATAGGAAGTTGCACAGCAACACTGCACAACAAGAATTCGGAATTATTAACACACTTCATAGTGGCAAAAACCAATTCAAACACAGTCCTCGGCGTGAAAGCATCTGAAAAGCTACAGCTAATAAAAAGAATATCGAAAATAAATAAAGAGGACATACCGAATTTATTAGTAGAGGAATATGAAGACTGTTTTGGAGAGATGTGCAAATTACCGTTTACCAACCACATAACAGGAAACCCAGAAATAACACCCATTATAATCTTCCGAGAAACATTCCATTTGTTTGAAACTAAAACAGAAACTAGAAAACACGACAAAAAATGGGAATAATAAAACCTACAGGAACCTACAGACTGGTTAAACTCCTTAGTAATAGTAGAAAAAGCCAACAGCAAACTATGATCATGCTTAGAGCCGAGATAAAACGAGCGATAAAACGAGAGCACTTCAAGCTACCTACAGCAGAAGAGATATTTACGGAAATGAATAATCCGAAGTACTTTACAAAATTAGACGCATAGAATGGATATTGGCACATACCCGTGGACGAAGAAAGTTCAAAATTCCTAATATTCAATTTACCATTCAGAAGATAGTCTTTTACTCGTTTGCCATACAGGATACTCAGCTACACAGCGTAAGTGAGGTATTCCAAATCCAAATAGCAAAAATAATAGAAGGAATACAAGGAATTGCCAAGACGACATAATAATATGGTTGGACACACACGAGGAGCACATCGAAATATTAAATCAATTCTTCAGTCGACGACGAAAGTCGGGCTTAAAATTAAATAATTCAAAATGCATGTTTGCAACTAAAAATGACATACCTAGGTCACTTAATCACGCATGGAGGAATAAATCCAGATCCATCGAAAATAAAAGCAATTACGGAAATACCAAACTCTCGAAATAAAAAAAAAATCTACAAAGATTCTTAGGGATGACAAACTACCTATGCAAATTCATACCTAAATACTCAGAAATAACTACACCGTTACGAGAGCTCCTTCATAACGAAGTACACCGGTCGTTTGACAAGCCCCAGAAAGAAGCTATAGAAAGACTGAAGCAAATGATTACAAACGCCCCAATCTTACAATTCTATAATCCAAAATTACGGACAAAACTTACTACAGACACAAGTAAAATAGGATTAGGTGCGGTATTACAACAAAAACATGGTAACATATGATATCATTGTCATATTGTATATCTAAGTGGGACTTTTATGATATCGTATGCATCAAAGGCGACAACGGCGACGAAACAAAATTATTGTCCTATTGAAACTGAGGCATTAAGCATATTATTTGCTTGTAATAAATTTCACCAATTTGTATACGGAACACATTTTATCGTCGAAAATGATCACAAGCCGTTAAAACAGATTTTCAAGAAATCAATCACAAAAAGTGCCCCGGGAATTCAAAGATTTCTATTAGCATTACAGAAAGGCGAGTTTGATCTCAATTATATACCCGGCCGTGAATCAGTAATAGCCGACAAACTATCACACGCATCTCTATCATATGAAACTCAAGAAATAACAGATACAGAAATGAACATGAGGATATTAAAGCAATATCCGATGAGTGATCACTCAATACATATAGAGAAGAAACAAGTAAAGCTACAATCTTACAAACTCGTAATACGCAGCAACAGTATGGCCTACGAAAAATAAAGACGTGCCCAACTCAATTTCAGCGTATATACCTATTCGTGATTAAATATCAGTTACAAAAGAGCTATTATAGGAAGGTACAAGAATAATAGTTTCTCGCTCTTTACGAAAGTAAGCATTACAGAAAATCCACACTGGACACTTAGGAATGGAAAAATGCATAGCACGGGCAAAGGAGGTGATATATTGGCCAAATATAAACAGCCAAATCAAGGAAATGCACACACTGCATAGACCATCAGAACCAGAACACAGCTGAACCATTGATTAACCATGACATCCCGATAATCCCATGGACCAAAGTAGCAACAGTCATCTTTCATCTCTATTATAAACCATACGTTGTAATTATAGACTATATAAGCAGATATTTCTATATACATCAACTAAAAAAACGGTGAGTCAACCACAGTAATCAAAAAGATGAAGAATACTTTCGCCAGATTCGACATTCCTCAAATAGATATCATCATTGACAATGATCCAGAATACAAGTCGACAGATTTTTAAAAATTCGCAAAAGAATGGGATTTCAAATACATCACGCCAAGTTCAAACTTTCCACAGTCAAATGGATTAACAGAAAGGAAGATAGAGACCATCAAAAAGACACTCAAGAAAGCATTTGAAAGTCAGCAAGACCCCTACTTAGCTATGCTAGCTTTAAGGACAACTCCTTTAAAAAAACAATCGATCTTCACCGGCAGAAGAACTAATGAAGAAGACTTTACGCACAAGTCTTACTAATATTAAACATAGTAAATCTACATACAGTCCGCAAGCAAGTAAAAATACAGACAGATATAGTGAAATGAACTACAAATGCTAAAACCAGATGATAACGTACGCGTAAAATTCCAGGAAAATTGTAAAAAAAAGGAAAAATAATTAAAAACTAGACGAATCTCATTCATATTAAGTATCTACCGAAGAAGGTACACACATAATGCTCAAGAGGGGACATCTTCTAAAAACAAAAGAACAATCAACAAACAGTACACCAAAAATGCAATTTGTCTATGAAAACATATTTAACAAAACAAATAAACTTAATAAAAATATACCAACAAAATCACAAAATACCACAAGAGGAAGGACAATAAAAGTCCCAGCTAGATATACAATATGACAAAAGTTCTTAATTAACAAAAAAATAAAATAAAATAAAATAAAATTCTTCTTTAAAAGACCTGAGTTGTATACAGTCATTACCTTTTACTAACACACATCATAAACAATACCTCTCATTAACACTCAAGACATCCTCGTTATAAGTTACAAGACAGACAAACTCCCACCTCCTAATATCATTATTACATGGTGGTAAGCTAAGGTAGTATCAATAAAGACTCCACATTGTTTAGACCTATTGTTTATCTCATTGTTTTATATCGTTCCTATTCATGTTCATTAACACAATAGCAAAATACAAAAAGGGACTTTATCAAGGCAAATGCAAAATAATATATATATATATATATATATATATATATATATATATATATATATATGCAATATTCAGCATTGGTATTAGGTTTTTTGGGGTTTTTTCATTCATTTCTTTGTTATATTTTTCTTTGTTAATATTTTTATTTATTTATATATTTAAATAAATAAATATGTCTTGATTATTTACTTATTCTTTCTTTTTATCGACAAATCTAATACCACTTGTAAATTTGATTATTCATGTATAAAAATAGATTTCATTATTTATAGATAAAAATGCTGCCTTCAAGATATAACAATTTTTAAGACATCTCTGTGCAGAAGTTGCTCAGTCAATAATAATGAAATTAGTAAATAACACGAGAAGATTCCGTAAGTAGATTCTATTACGATTAAATGTACGCTTAATTCCTATGGTGGTATTATACCAAAGATTTTTGTTATAAAATATAAAAATGAACAAATAAAAAGCAAACAAAAATGTACATTACATTTATTTTTCAAAGAACTGATAATTGATACTTACGTATACAAGGCAAATCTGCTTTGGACCATTTATAATGCGATTGGTAAACGCTAATCTTCCTTTTTTCCTTTTAACCTCCACTATCAAATCCCTTGAAAAAAAAAAGAGCATACTATGATGAAAAAAATGCCCCAAACTTGATAAAAACTAAGCTTTTATGGTATTATTAACAGGAAAGACCAATGTATCTTTTTTATTATTTAATTATGTTTTTTAATCCTTTTTAAAATATTCGAAATTTTGGTTCAAAATCTTGTTTTTCAGCAGATGGATTATAAATTAGCATAGGACATTTTAGCGTCTTTTTTGTGGTGAAAGATACATTGATTTGGAAATTCTTGTAATGATCAAATAATTGTCTTATTTTAATGAAACTTTCAGGACTCATTCACAAATTAATGAAATTATTTTAGAAATGTCTTTGTTTAAAAAAATATTGCTATATATATATATATATATATATATATATATATATATATATATATATATATATATATATATAAATATGAAGAAATATACTCTTAAGGTGCGCTATATTTATGGGATAAAGTGCTCAATATCAGCGATAGAGCGTGTGTAAATATAAAATGTGTACATTGAAGCCAACACTTAGAGACGATGACATGAATCGTCAGGCCACGATTGTGGCCTCACGATAAACAGCCTGTCGCCTCTAAGTGTTGACTTCAATGTTCACTTTTGTAATTGTAAAATGAGGAAACCTTGCCGTCGATCTAGTACTGCGCTTAAATTCATAAAGTCTAGGTATTATAGAAGAATATTCATAGGGAGAATTACCATGAAAATATTTATAGAAAAAGCACAGGGAAGCTACGTTACGGTGGTGGGAAAGTGACTGAAGCCGAGATGCCAGATCAGGACCCATAACATTGCAAATTCTTCAATGTATTTTATCAAGAATCTCTAAATATATAGCAGATGCACCAGACCAGACGTGGTAGCAATATTCAAAGCAAGGACGAATGGTAGACTTATAAATATGTAAGATAGATTATGACAAAAAAAATTGTCTTGCTCGACACACTGAACCAACTTTCCTAGCTGCAGACCTATTGACTCAATATACTCTTTCCACTTCATGTAAGCGGAAAACGTTAGTTCAAGAAGACGCGATGATTTACTCTCTTGGAGGTTAGCATCAGCCATGCCGATGGAAAGTAAAAAGTAATGCAAAAACGCGACTCCCAAATCGTTTACTTCCTTTAATACGATAGCGTAATGAAATATTTAAAACGTCTACAATGCAATAAAGATTTGAAAAAATAAGTTTTCTATTTGTTAAATATTCTTCTTTTATGTATTATATCCCTTAAGAACGTAGCTGATCATGACTCTCGACAACTTCCTCTTGTATCTCTAACAAACGTTTAGTTTTTACCGTTCTACTTTGTCCCCGATCTGCCATCTATCTATTCACACATTCACATTAGATTCTTCACTGTTTCCTTCAACCCTAACTTCCTTCAATATATCCAGTGAGTGCTAAATTTTCCAAGCACTTGTTTCTCATTATGTGTCATAGTAATTTCAACTGATATACCTAGAGGTAGAGAGTGGGACGAGAATAGAGGTTTAGTTCGAAAGTCAGTGACGGTTAGTCGGATTGACAGACACGTGAAGAAGGCCGGAGATCTCAACAGCTGCAACATAGTGATCACAGCAAAAAAGATGGAGGCATTAGCCAGTATACAAATACTGTAAATAAGAAAATATTGAATGACAATAACAACCTATCTTTTAAAATATACAAATTTATTATTAGACATTATTAAAAAAAAAAAAAAAGAAAGAAATGACAGCAAATCTTCAACAGAAGCAACTGCTGCCGTATAACATGAAGCCTCTGTGAGTGCAGTCAAACTTGACAAGTAACAACACTAGCACTCATCAGTAGGCACGTTAGGTTTAAGACACCAAGTTCTATGGGATTAAACTAAAGCTTTGGTTCTGAATTTCGTGATATAATAATAATAGCGATGAAATCTCTTAGACTCAGTGGAAACGGCATGCACAATAACCGAGTAGTAGCAAATTAGAACTAGACTTAATATCTCTGGATATGATTAGCGTAACACAAAAACAGTTAAGTAGATTAAATAAAGGGTTCAGTTAGAAATTCCCTGTAAGTTCATCACTTAATGAAGGCTGGAGGGAACAACATCTGAAAGGTCCTGACAACAACAACAAAGATGGGGACAATTGTTTGAATGTAAATAATGTAAACAATAACAAAATTATAATAAAAAAAAATGATGCTTTCCTTTTTAAAAATAAGACGTTGCTTTTTATGAAAATGTTTAACGAGTGGGATCTTCAATGACCTAAAGTCAAATAATAAACAATAGTTTCGACAAAAAGAAAGTTTTGTAGCATTATTTGTAAATAACAATTAGCAGTAAAAAAACGTCATAAATATTTCTTGACTAATCAAAAGCGTTGCTGTGGATTATTTTCATGGATTTTTATAGAGTTACTCTGAGTCCTTGAGATACAGAAGTTTTACTAGACTTCTCAGTAGGGAAAAAACCTGTAGTCTCAATTCGCTGAGAAGATATACTTTTTCATATCATTCACCTTTCACTAGTCACGAACACATTGACAGTATTCCTGAAATTTTCGACGTACATCATTGCGACGATTCAAGTATTCCTCAATATATCCATGATTCAACGTTGAACACTTGAAATTCTCAAGTCTGAAAATGTTTAATAACATACTAATAAATATAGGTACCTCGAAAAATTCACAAAAAGGGTGATACATGATGAAAAATGGCAAAAATAAGAGCCAAATTTTACCGTTAAAATTATTATATTATTGTTAATAATAAAGATTAAAGAATTTTTTATGCAAATATTATTTTTTCGTCCCATTAAGAACTTTGAAAATTTTGTTTTAAAATCTTTTTTTTTTTTTTTTTGCGTCAAAGTGAGTCCATAAATTTGTACGCGAAATTTTAGTAACATTTTACGGTGAAAAACATTGATTTGGAAAGTTTGCTAAAATCAGATAAACATCGGCTTTTAATGAAACATTCAGGACTAATTAAAAAATGAATTAAATTATTTTTAAATGTTTCGTTTTTAGAAAATCTTTGTAAAATTTGTTACCTCTCCTCATACTCTTAATTTTTTTTAATTTCGAGAAATTCCGTTTTGTATCGCTTGAGCTTTATCTATCTATACATATATAAAGAGTAGTTGACTCTCTCTGTGTGTGTGTGTGTGTGTGTGTGTGTGTGTGTGTGTGTGTGTGTGTCCCGCTAAAATAAAAACTACAATAATTAACGACAAAATAAATATACAGACTTATTATCACCTAAGCCAGATTTCAGTGAAAAAATTATCATCTTATTATTTGCATTTACGAAGATATTTTAAAATTAAAATGCATTAGAATGCATTTGAAATTCTCAAATTAAAAAGTAAAAACGAACGGTAATAATTCTTAGTCCCGATTATTATTATCGTTCGTTTTTACTTTTTAATTCTGCTGATACTTTCGAAAGCCTATACATGTATGTATTTTTAAAATTTCTATTCTCTTGAATTTATTTTCAAACCTATAAAAGCCTAACATTTAAAAAAGGAATATCAAAAAACAATGTAAATTTAAAAGAAGATGACTTATTATTTTTCGGAAAATAAGTTTTTATTCAATCTTTAAAAAATAAACTTCATTGTTTTTTTGTTTTTTGTTTTTTGGTTTGTAACTAACATAAAAAGTAAATAATTTTAAATTAAGTTTTATTGAAGCATAAAACTATAGCGAGCCTTATTTTTTCGAAAATAAATTTAAATAAAATATAGTTAAATTCGTAAAACAAATATTCAACACAAATGTTGACCGTAACGCATGTCTGTCTCTCCTAATTTTTATATAACTAAAGTTTTTTTTTCTTTTTAAATACAAATATAACTTGAAATTTAAATTTAATCGCTTTTCAAACCTAAATTGAGTAACAGCCGGAAGTTTAATTTTCTTTTTTCTACGGCGGGCATATCTGTAAAAATTACTTAAGGAATATAACGTAAGCGCCTTTTTTATATGATTTTTAACTACGTAGTAATCTTAAAGATTTAGGGAAATATTCTAATGATCTACTGAATTTTAGGTACTTTGGCTTTAAATTTATTATAGTTATCGCTCTTATTTTCTGATAATGTTGTGTATGGACGTCCGTATTTACAAAAATCGATAAACACAAAAAAAAATTAAAATTCTTTTTAAAATATTACTGGTCGATGAATCGTAGTAAACCTTTCCATTTATGATTATTAAATATAGTTATTATTTAATAGCAATAACACTTAATCAGTACAAATTAATACAGAAATTTAAAAGATTTAAGACTATAAATTATTCTTCTTAAAATTTAAAAAAATGAAAACAATTCTTGTAAAAATTTATTATACATCGAAAAAAATTATGTCTTAAGACATAATATACTTTATTCATAAAAGTAATTAAAAGCCTTTCTAAATAAATAATGTCTTAGTTTTATTTCATCTTTTTATTTTACGATTTAGACCAGATTTTCGGTAATTTGATGATTTATTTAAATTCTCCAAGAAGTTCTGCTTTTAGCATATAAATATAAACATTAAGCGATACAAAAATTAATTTCTCGATATTTCATAAAATTAAATCAGTGAGCGGTAACAGATGTAAAATAAAATGGCTTTACCAAGATTTTCTAAAACGAAGCATTTTTAAAATAATTTAATTCATTTAAAATCAGACAATATTTGATTTTTGCAAGAATTTTTTGCAAGAATTTTTTGCAAGAATTTTCAAATCAATGTGTTTTTCACCGCAAAAAAAAAACACGCTAAAATTTCCTATACTAATTGTTGGTCCCCACTCTGATGCAAAAAAATAAAATTTTATCTAAAATTTCGAACGTTCTAGAAAGCATAAAAAATAGTTTAATAATAAAAAAAAAAATCTTTGGTCTTTCCTCTTAATAATAACATAAAGATTTTGACAATAAAACTTTGTTTTTATAAGATTTAGGACATTTTTTTCATCATGGTATGTTCATTATTTAGCGAATCAATGGCGGTGCCTAACTAAAGAGTATTTTTAATACATTTTAGGTCTTTTGAATTCATGTATATATGTTTGTAAATACAAATGATTTAACATACACCCGTGTTTTGTTTATTTTAATTTTATTATTGTTTGGAATTCGGACGTTCGGATTTTTAATATAAAACTTGGACGACTGAATTTTCTACAAATGGTAACCTCGACAAAGTAAACCAAACTCCCGATGTCTACACATTGAATCGACCAAACGGGAGTGGTGTCGCAGTTATAGTATAAGGATAGTTAAATGATTTCTTGCCTGTTTACGTAATGTATTTCATTATTCTTAACTGGCAGCGAGAATTTCAGTAATGGAAGTAGATGGAAAAGAAAGATGATATTGTTTTTGGCTATTTATTGTAGTGGTATTTTCTGGTGTTGAAGTGATGTTGGTTGTTTTTTGTTTGTTTTTTACAGTAAGGTTCACTCTCTACAAAGCCCGGGGGCACTCGAGGTAGAGGGTAACGTTAATGGGTAGTTTATACGGGTAGGAGGGGGAAAGATAACGGTTAACTCTAGTCTTGAACAGGTTAAGATTGTAGTAATCGAGGAGACATCCTCTTGGGAGTCGGTTCCAGAAAACTGTGGTTCGCGAGAAGAAGCTGTTCCAGTGGAACTTACTTCTCACCGATGGAATATGGAGAGAATGTGGGTGGTTTGCTACAATGTAAGTGGCATGCTGGATCCTGTCGTGAAGGTTAGACCTTGCGGAACCAAAGAATATAGTTCATCCGAGCTCTTTACATTGAAGTAGCGGTAGAGTAGTGAGAGGTACGCCACATCCTTCCAGTGAGAGAGAGGTTAAAGGGTGCAAAATAATTAATAATAATATTTATAATAATAATTTGTCACCCACAAGGATTTGGAGACGCTTTTGAACACTATCGAGACTGGAAAGTGTGGACTAGGCATCTCCTACCCAAATATGACAACAGTACTCTATGTCCATTGTGGTGTAATGGATATCTGCTCGAGATGAGAACTCGGAAAGCTGAGTTTGAATTCCAGTCGTTCGTTATATTCACATGCACAAATGCTTTTCTCCTCCTAGCTATGGGTTAAATAACAGGATAGACTAGATTTTTTAGCCTTGGTTGGCAACCAGTCTACCGTAGAAAGAAATGGCAACCTACTGCAGGAAAAATCTTCTGCCTCGTCGGTCATGTATCGAAAGATACATGATCGTCCAAGCGTGTATTACATGTGGCTCTTACTGACTGACTGACTCCATTTTCGCCCTGATCTGGCTCATCTGCTTAAGGAATGGAAACTTTTAGATAATGCAAAAGAAAGGATAAAGAAAAGATAACCTTTTCAGATTTGTTTATTGATGACTATTAAAAATACTGAACACAAGATTATTATACACATTTAGGTTTTATGAAATATCTGTTCCGAAGGTACTCCGTCAATAATTCTGAATAAAATAAATTATACTGGAATTTGGAAATAAGTGGAGGAGATTATGCAAACAGATCTCCTCATTTTGATATGTACACTAAATTTGTACTAAATATAGTGGCATTATTTCAAACATTTCTGTTTGCATTACAAATCAAACAAAAATAAATAGTAATCATTACTTTTTTGTTTAAAGAAATCATAATTGAAACTTACGTGAACATTTTAAATCTACTTTGGTCCATTTCGAATTCAGTTGGCAAAAACTTTTACGTATCTTTTTTTTTCCTATGGGTTGATATCCATCAACGCACTCATACTGTACCATACCTTTATAGGTCAGGTTTGTCATGCTCACATATTTAGCGTTAAGTACACTCTCAGGGAGACCACAATTTATAGCTGAAATCAGAGAGGAAGAGAAAGAAAACAGAAATATCAATAATAAAAACAATTATTATTGCAGTACAAAGACGAAACTTCTAAGTTGCTTAAATCCAATAGTACCATATAAGGATGAAATATTTAAAATCGACGATGCAACAGACATTTAAAAATGCTTCCTATTGTACTAAATATTCTTTCTCTTTTTATGAGTTGCACCTCTTCAGGACGTGGATGATTATGACTTTCCATAACTTCCTGTATTTTGTAGCTCTAAGCAAATTTAACTTTTTGCCGTCCCACTTTGTTCCCACTTTGCCATCTCTTCTCACGAACTCTTGAGGTCACATACTATTTCCCCTCTGTCCTAACTTCCTTCAATATGTCCAGTGAGTATTAAATTTTCCACGCCCTCTTTCCTGATTATGTGTCCTAGAAATTTCAATTGTCTCTTTGACTCTTTCTGATTTTAAGTATAAGTGTCCTAGTTTTTCAATGAAAAAAATCGTTCCCTCAATAAGCAATGCAAAAATTGTATTAAATAAAAAGAAATATTATCTCTGAATTTCTAGGATAAGGTATTATTATTTTCATTCCGACTAACATCTTGTATCTTTGTTGTTATCTAGCCTAGTGGATTTAAGCATTGGCTCGTGAATTTGGTGGCATAGTAATTATGAGTTCAATCCGTGGGTCGGATAGTACATACTTAGTCACAGTGGAAACGGTGCAAGCAACCACTGAGCATTACAAAAAAATAAAAATAAATAAAAATAACAAGGCGAGGTATCCTTGGGCATGAATAGCGGAAGGAGAATAAAGCGTTTAGAGTTCGAAATTCACTAAAAGGCTACACGGATCAATAGACATCTGAAGAAGTCCAAATGTAAATCAGAAAATATTAAATAACAATAGAAACCGATATTTTAAAATATTTTTAGAACAACTTTATTAATAATGTTGTTTTCATTTTAAACGAAGAATGATAGCATTATTTTGATTTATGATGATGTTTAACGTGTGGGATTAGATCTTCGATGACCTTGTCGGAGTTAGCTCCTCCTTAGTTCCTTAATCTTTCACCAGGGGTCTCTCTCCCCTGGTTATAAATACTGGGTGACCTTTTGCCTCGATCTCTCTTTTCCCTCGGGCCTTGGGCCTTATACCACCTCGCGTTGATGAGGTGGGTTAATTCTTTTCTCTTCATTTCAGCTAATACCAATATGTAAGCCCTCACCAATACAGCGTTTACCAAATTCTGGGAACACGCTAAGAACAATACCAATACACGTACGTACGAACACTCACCACAATACACACACATAATAATATTCACCATACGAACTCAATGTAACTGTCCATGTGCTTGTAACTTATTGTTAATACATATATTTGTTTGTATATAATTATTGGTCTTGTTTGTTTTCTTTGTCTTCTTTGGACTTAACTAAAGTACAACATTCTCATGTAGCTGAACCGGCTAGCAGGAAATTTTAACCCACGTGTGTTCTTTATATCTTCACCGCCACGGTCCACTACAACCTTACTGTTTCCTTATGCCCTAACTTCCTTCAATATATTCAGTGCGTGTTACATTTTCCAAGCACTCTTTCACATTATGTGTCCCAGAAATTTCACCTGATATACTTAGAGATAGAGAGCAGAACGAGAATAAAGGAATTCAGTGACGGTTATTCGGATTGACAGTCACTTGAAGAAACCATGAGATCTCAATGGCTGAAACGTTGTGATCATAACAAAAAAGATAAAGTCGTTGGTCCATATGCAAATATTGTAAATAAGAAAATATTAAATACTAATAGAAATATATATATGAAAATATACAAATAAAATGTTTTATTAGACATTATTAAAAGAGAATGACAGTAAGTCTTCTTCCACATAAGTTGCTGCCGCTGTACAACGTGAAGCCTCTGTGAGTGCAGTCAAGCTTGACAAGTAAAACTAACGGCATCAACACCCATCAGTGACACGTTAGGTTTAAGACACAAAGTTGTATGGAATTAAAGCGTTAGTTCTTGAATTTCGTGATAATAGCGATGAAAATCTCTTGGACCCAGTGGAAACAGCACGAACAATAACTGAGTAGTATTAAAGTAGAACTAGACGTGATGTGTCTGGACATGATTAGCGTAACCAGAACCCCCCTCCCGCCTTGTAGGATTCAGTTAGGAATTCCCTGTAAGTTACCCGGATCGATCATCACCTGATCAACAGCGGAAAGGTGCTAACAACAACAAAGATGAGGACAATAGTTTGAATGTTTATAAAGTAAACAATAACAAATTTATTATAAAAGATTTGTCGCGGGGCCGAGTTGGTCGGCGGCGGTAGCTGGTCGACTGCCGGATGGGAGAATTGTCAGGAACAGCAGCAGGTTGATCGATGTCACACGAAGATTCGTTGGATTGGTTAGGACGAGTCCCTAAACACGGCCGAGTCAGTATAGTGATACGACTTCCAGGGCGGATCAACCACGGAGGCGGGATCGCGCCGAAATGTAGCACTTGACGAAGACGGGGAGTCCCTAAACAGGGCCGAGTCAGAGTAGTGATACGACTATCGCGCCGAAGCGTAACACTTGACGAAGCTTGTCAGAGAGGTGATACGTCTTCTTTTATCAGAAAATAAGCGAGGTACCAATAAATTTATTGGCAATTTTCTGACATTTTCTCAACAAGTGTCTTCGTAAATAAGGCTATAAAGCCAAAGTACCTCAAATTATTTAAAATATTAAATTGCTTAAAATATTTTCTTAAATTGTCAAGATTATTGGGTAGTTAAAAGAATTATATAAAACAGCGTTCACGTTGTATTCGTCAAGTAATTTCTTTCACTTATGCCCCCCTTAAGAAATTTCCCAAACATCAGCCTGCCAATAAATCACTCAACGCGTCAGAACCCCCACCTCCATGTTAAAAATACTTTTCTGCGAGATTTTAAACTAGAAGTAATATGTTTTTGTGTTTCAATACACATTAATTAAACTTTAAATTACCTAATCTTCCCCAAATAAATTTTCAGACAAGTATTTCTTTAATTTTTGAACGATATTTTTAAAAAAGAGAATTGTGTTGTGTTGACAGATCTGTTAATAAGGGCGGATTTATAGATTTTACTGATAAAGAGAAAAAAGATTTCAATTAATTTAAATTCGGTTTAAAATCCACTAAAGTATTTTGCTTATAGGAATTATTTAATTTAATCTATTAGTTTGCAATTAAAACTAAAGGAAAAGCTCCAAAAAAGATTTTTCATTTTTTAAAATAAATACATTTTAATCTTAGTTATCGCTTTTTCTTACCAAAATAAATATTTGCTACAACGATTACACCACCCTCTGAAAGATGAATGATGTTCCAACCTGGTCTCTTGGCATTGATATAATGATCTGTTTAGGTTTCAAGGTTCCAAAGAATCATACTATTATTCTAAACAGCTACTACTTTTCTGTGTAGTTAAATTCATTTTGTTTGCAAAGCTCTCACTTAATTCTGTTTTTTTCTTTCTTGGATGTTAGTTTTTTAATACCATATTCTGCCAAGACGTAGACAGTAATGACTCCCCACAGATCCTTTTTCTTTATAACCTGTGGATTACTGTGAGTTTGGGAAAAAAAAGAGCACCTACTGCTAAATTAGTAGCAATCAAAGTTTATAAAGCCCAGTCTACTTTAGTATTAAACCTATAATTACCGGAAGAAAGAAGTGGTGGATTAGGGTCTTTCCTTGGGACATCTATACGAAAGTGAGCATAACCGAGTAGGTTGGAATTTGAGCTTTGTTCGCCGATTCCCTTTTTCTGCGCCGATAACTGTTACGTTACTTACGAATCATTTATATATTTATTAAATAAAGCTTATTGCTATAGATACAAAAATACGCTCACTTGCTGCTGTTTTTTTTTTTTTTTTTTTTTTTTTTTTTTTTTTTTTGCAAAATATGCTTCTAGCTGGACTAAAAGCAATGGCAAACAAAATTTTCATATGTAAAAGGTGGGTTGTCATTGTTAGTAGAGGTGAAAGAAAATGAAAGAAATTTCAACAAGGCGATATTCTTATGTGTTTTATATATGGCTAATAAATGGTTAACAAGAAATAGAATATGCTTTTCTGCATGAAAACATAACTGAAAAGAAAGCAGTCATTAAAATCTAGATATTAAAAATTGTGTGTGATACACGCAGGTATGTGCGTGAAAGAGTCTAGTCATCCCTATGTTGAAAACAGGTCCCGTGCTGGTGTTGCTACTACCGCCTGCTAGAAGGAAGATAGTCACTTCCCCACGCGGTCAGATGTGGCACAAGTTTCTTCTCGCTTGTAGAACTCTGTTCTATCTTCTTGTTTTCCTGTCAACTACAATCTAAAAATGTTTAAATGCAACGTCAATCGTCATCTTCTGTCTTCTTGAATCCTGTTATTTTTTTTAGTCACTTCTATAACGTTTTCACAGTTTCCTTCACTCTCACTATCCCCCTTGCGTCTTAGTAGCTTTATCGCCTAGCTTGCGGTGAAATGATCAAAAAGTTTTTTAATCTGACATTATTTCTTATTACTATAAATGTTATTTTTAGTGGGCACACGTGTTTGAGTAGACTTCCCTGTTTTTTGCTTTGTTTTTCTTTTTTAAAGTGTAATTAATCATTAGAGATCGAAAATCTTATTAAAGAAAATGTACGTCCTGACAGGAATCGAACCGATGTCTCCTTTTTTAACCACTTTGTTGCAGTAACTTTCTGTAGCTTAATGATAAAGCATGTTAGACTTTTCAAGTAGTTTCCCAGATTTAAAAGGGAATGAAGGTTCGATTCTTGTAGGGAAGTACATTTTCTTTGATGAGATTTTCGATCTCTAAGCCGGTAGACATTAATTTCACTGTTAAAAAAAAACAGAGATGTCTACTCAAATACCCGTACTCACTAAATATAACGTTTATAGTAATAAAGAATATGTGTGGGCGGGAACTATGTAGAGATTTATTTTATTGTAATTTCGAATAGACATACAAGCTGTTACCAAAAGTTCAGGAGATTCGAACAATGCGTACGAACCGAATTTAATATAATCCGTAATACATTTGGGTATTATCTCGTAATATTAAAAATCTAATCTATTTCTTATTCAAAGGCAGAAGCGATTTATAAAATAAACGGTTATGGTAAACTTACCTAATTTCAAACAGGCATAAGAACATTTATCGTAGGATACACAATATTCATCCGGTTGACACAGCTGTTGTCGACATCCTTTTGCAATATTCTATTAAAACATAACAAAAAAAAAAATTAATTATCTCGGACATTTATTTGATACCGTAAAACGTTTCGTCTTTCAGGAAAAAAAAACAAATTTACTTTCAACTCACTTGCAGAAAAATCAGGAGAGATTTTTTTTTATGCCATATCCGTTCAAGTCCTTGGTGATCATGACTCCCTACAGATTCTTTTTTCATTATTATGTGTGAATTGCCATGCTGCCTTGGAAAGTTATTGAAGTGGTTTCCCGTTGTCTTCTGCACGGTTGGAATTCCAAGCTTTCCTTCTCTTAGATAGGTTGTCATCCAAGGTTAGAGTGCCCAGTCGGTCCTGCTATATGACCCATAGCTTGTGGAGAGGGGAGAATTGATGGATGCATGCCTTCATCGGGGGCATTTGTACAAAAGTGAACACAACAGACTACCCTGAAATTTGAACTCGGTTCGCCGATTTCATTACCGATAGCTGTTGCGATCACCACGTATGAAGACACGTTCTGAAATCTGGTTTTACTCTTCACTCTCTTTTCATTATTTTGCAACATGCATTTTTTATTGCTTAATCAATAAAAAATTTTTTTCGTCTCATATTTTCATTTAAACAATAGTTGATTTGTAAAGAGAGAAAAAAACAGGATATATATATATATATATATATATATATATATATATATATATATATATATGTATGTATTAACTGGACATGCGAAATCATGTCTTGAAAGTCTCGTTGATGATTGAGCTCTCTGATATTATTAACCTGTGAAACAAGTACACTTTCCATTTCACAACGAATATACGCTTATAGTGCACAGTAACGTGCAAAAGTCCTCGGCCATTTAAAACTATTGTAAATTTCTAATAATTACCATCTTATAATTGGGTGTTTTTCATTATCAGTCTACATAGGAAGCTTTGGGCATATTTGAATCATTTTCACATCTAATTATCATGATTTTTAGCAGGGATTCTTAGGTAGCATAGAAAATGCGATACGACACAAAAATGAACGTGCAAAAGATTTCGGCCACCTCATATAAACTAAGTCAGAGGGCACTTCGACGTGATGTAACAGCAAGCTTGTCTCGCAATATCAATTACGACTGAATAGTGTGTTCGATCCTCACTGGGTGTCCCATACATTCGGCCTTGTGCCAAGTCTAAGCTACGCTAAATCATCATATAAACCAAGTCATATGCTGTGTTTTAAGAAATAAAAATGTGTGTAATGAAAATTTATTTTATAAAATTGATTTGATGATGATTTCAAGAAATTAATTCATATTGTTAATATTTTGTTTGACTTCCAGTAGCTTGAATAATTGTTTCAATACACCTGGAAAGGGATGTGTACAAACCCTTCACCATCTTCAAAGGTACTAGATATCATTTCCTGTGGCTGAGCTTCTACAACGCAAGAGCACGTAGATTCTTTTAATGAATTCTACTCATTAGTTCTTCAGTATTTCATCCATGATTTAAGTAAGGGCTCTAATCTTGCCAATCTTTTAATACGGGGACACATTCATCAGTCAGTCTCTGTTGTGTTGCAAGCAATCTGTAATGTGGAATACCATAATGTTAAAAAAATCTCGCCTTCACGCAAATCTGGTATCAAATGTTCCTTCAGCAACAGGATGTATTTGGCACTATTCAAGCTTTCTTCAATTTTAACCAATTTTCTTAAAATATTTCTTTTTATGTAGCCATAAAGCATCACTTTTACCCTGAAAACTTCAGTGTTATCGTTGTGTAATGTGCCTCACTTAGCTTTCCTGTCAGTCTTCTGACAAATTCACACTTATTAAAATGCAGCTGTGTATCACAATAGGGAAATAAAAATGCAAAAGAAGCACATTGCTTGATTAAATTTATTATTGACTCAACAAGACAATATTTTTGAAAAAATGGCAACGTTGACAGAAGAATATTGAAAATGTGGTTTCACTGTCACTTTTAGGAAACGTAAATATTAAGGTGAGAAAAAAGTGAGGTATACAGACTTTCAATTAATGAACATAATATGAAGGTTACAAAGAAACGTGAAATGTTATTCAAGATGATAGACTGCATTTTATTTTGTGGAAACTTTGAAACTCCCTGACGTGTACATGATGAAAAAGATTATTCAATAAATTCAAGGATATTTAGAGGATTAATAAATTTTGCATCAAAATTAGATTCAGATTTGAAGAATCACTTAGAAACTAGTACAGTTTTCAAATGTCTTTCTAAGATCATTCAGAATGAGATACATGACTGCTTTCTACAAATATACCATAAGGAGATAAGGACAAAAATTAGAGAAGCTTCGTTTGTAGCCGCCATGGCTGATAACAGATATTTCGGAACATACTGCATTGGACATTGTTCTATGGTACGTATTGACTGAAGAAATATTTGAGCGTTTGGGGCAATTCTTTATTCTAGCAAATCAAACTGCAGATGGCATATCAAAACGTATTCTAGAACAATTAGACATAATCCTTCAAGGTAACGGACAAAAACTGATAGGTCAGATATTTGATGGTACAAATATCATGAAAGACAAAAAAGACGAGTTCAAAAAAAATATAAGCAGTTTATAGTAGTGCACATTTCATTCACTGTTATGTACGTCAACTTAATTTAATAATGAGAAATGATGCAAGTATTACACGAAATGCAAGAATATATTTCTCTAATATTTTGGCCATTCCAACATTCTTCTCAAGATCACCACAACACCTATCCATTCTCAAGAGACATTTGGGCATCAGCATTCCACGTCTATTCTCTACAAAGTAGAACTTTAATATACTGACCGCGAACAGAGTTCATGAAGATTTACAACCTTTAAAAAGCTGCCTTACTGGAATTCAGAAGCAACAGGAATTTTACAATACCTAAATGATGATAATTTCATGTTTTGATTAGAGCTTTTACATCCGATTAGGCCTCATGTTGAAGTAATTTACAAATAAATGCAATCTCGAGAAATTAGTGTGTTTAAAGTCAATGAATATATGACAGATTTCAAAATTGATGTTTTAGAAATAAGAAACTCGACGTAGAGTGAGAATCCTTCAAAGACACTCATGGCAGAAGCAAAGAAAATGTGTGACGCGATATGTGTTGATATAATGGACAGGTATTCTTCCAATAAACACTTAGTAGCTGCTAAATTGGTCAACAAGAAAAGCTTCACTAGCAGAATGAACTGCCTACAGAAGAGACAGTACTGACCACTGAAGTATATTCCATGATTGACAGTTTGAATCTGAACGAAAAGTATTCTATAGTAGATCCGATATACATTAATATTGCAAAATAATTGAGTTGCTGAAATTTATCTTTGAAAATAATCTAGATGGTGTTGTCAGTGAAATTACGAAATTGATAAAAATCCTCCTGGCAATTCCCATGACTACATCAGAACACTTCTTATGAGCACTATGAATCCTGAAAGACTAAATGTACTTTCAGTGCTTTCAATGAAGAAAAATTTCCTCCACAGTCATCTAGGGATTAAGAACATTATTAGCTTTTTTACTCAAAGTAAAACAAGAAGAATGTAATTCATTTTTAAATGAATGGATCAAATGTAACCATTTATTAGTAAGTAAAAAATAATTTTTTCATTTAGAATTTTATCAAGTTTATATATAAATTTTCTTTATATGTGTTTGTTTCGTTTTACACAATATTAAACCAATGGCTAAAAAAATTGCTGAGGGAGCACCCCCACAAATTTTAGTCGAGATCCGCCACTGCATTGAACGAACAACTATAGTATTCACAGTGTACACTGACATTAAAAGAACTATCAAGAACTTTCCATCATTCCCCGAAAGAAAATTGAAAAGCTTAGAATATCTGCTGCGCGTTCGTGAATTAGCAAAGGACAGGGAGTTTTGGAAGGGACAAATTAGAGTAATTTACGATGAGATCAGCCTGATTTTCTTTTTATCATTTCACCTCAAGCAACGCAATAAAGCCACTAAGACGCAAGAGGTTACTGAGTATTAGTGAATATGAGCAAAAATACTATTAAGGAGTGAGGACAATCAAAATAAAACATGAAGAGGGAGGACATAGTATTCAGATTTTATTCAGTACTATCTCTTCTGAACAAGAATTATGATGACAGAAGATAACAATTGATATTGCATTTAAATTTTTGAATATCAATGTTGACTGGGAAGTAAGAAGCTGGAAGAGAGTTACACAAGCGAGAAGTGTGATAAGAGACTGTTAGCATAGAACTTACAGTTACATCTAGGCATTTCAACTCTAAAATGATGACACCTAACTGCCAATCTAATACTGCGCTTAAATTCATAGTCTAGTTGCCATAGAGGAAATCTCATCAGAACAATTACCATGAAATTATTTATAGAAGAGGCACAGAGAAGTTACATTACGGCGATGAGAAAGTAACTGAAGCCGAGATGCCAAGTCAGGGCCAATAACATTGCTGATTCTTTGTATTTTATCAAGAATCTCTAAATATAAATCAGGAGCACCAGACAATGTGTGGCGGCAATATTCAAAGCACTGACGAATGGTAGACTTATAAATATGTACGATAGCTTCTGGAGAGAAAAAATTGTCTTGCACGACACAGTGAACCCACATTCGTAGCATCAGACCTAGCAATTGATTCAATATAATATTTCAACTTCATGTCAGCGAAAAATGTTAGCCCGAGAAGGCACAATGAGTCACTCTCCTGGAGGTTAACATCCGCCATGCAAATGGAAGGCAGAAAAGGGTTCCTCAGATGATTGATAGAAAGCAGTTTCATTTTGGGAGCGTTAAAATTAACAAGGCATTCATTGTCACAGTTAACAGTAGCTTGTAGGTCATTTTTAGATCAGTCAATTTGACCATATCAAACTTATTTGCAGTGTTCCTTCAAGTCAAAACAACACTCGTGGTGATGATATAATCAATTTTTTCCGTTATGGATTGAAATTTATATAAAGAAAATCTTAAAAATACATATATAGTATCCAATAAACTACAAAGAGTTGAAATGCTATTTATTTACTTAAGGTTTTCTTTAAATCGGGAATATTTTTTTATTTTATTTGTTTCCTAAAAGAAAACAGATTAAGTAAAAAAAAAATGAGAAAAATTCGCACATTTTGTAACATCAGAAATTATAAATTTAGGTTAAAAAAATAATAGATATTCACTTACCCAATGCTGTTTTCTTATATCAGTGGTTAAAGTATTCAATTTCGTTTTTCCATAATTATTCTCAAAAAGAAAACACTTTTGTTTATCGAAAGTGTATGATTTGCAGGTGGATCTTGCGAAGCAGAAAAGGGCGCAATCCATCCAATTATGCGCAGAGTGAGAAATAAAATATGAATATTGTCTTTTATTTTTGGTCGCGTTGAGATTGTATATTAGGAAATAAATAAAGTTTAGACATATTAATAAATGTGCAAACATTGTTTTCATTCTTCTAAATTTTATTTTTAGATTAGCAAGGATGGATAGCTACTATAATAAGATGTTATATATTTATTATTTTCGTGTTGCAGATGTTCTTAAACTCTGATAAAACTGACCACCTGAACCAGTTTTTATTTGCTTGTTTTTTATTTTTATTGCAATTAACAACATTCAGAAGTTTAGCCTAGAACAAAAGATTAAATTCCAGAACAATATTTTGACATTTGCTATGTTATTGTGTTTCAAAATGGAAATTTTAAAAGTATAAATTTGAATGCAGAAAGGATAGGCCAGTCGATAGTTTAAGTCAATTTTACTAGGTTTATAATGACACAAAAGTTTCAAATATAAATAAAAGCTGAATTTACACCACATCAAAACATTGGAATATGTTAAATGAGATTCCGTTTGAATATGTTTTTACTAATTTTTTATCCTCGCAAATTCTTATCTAAGAATGAGAGTCTCTTGTTAGAAATCAGCCTTGTTGCTGTTCAGTCCTTTGTATGAAGCAGGTGACACTGATACTGGATGCTATTGACTTCTTGAGGAAAGTTTGTTTCTGCGTAACATTTTCACATAGATCAATTGCTATCAGCGGCTGAGAATCGATTGGAAGCATTAAAAAAGCATGAAAAATATCCAGTTACAACGTAAGCAATATACCGTAGCTTGAAAATAGAATGTGAGCTGAAAGTAAAGAAACCGTAAAAAGAAAGAAAACGCATTTTATTATTATTATTACCGATTGACTTACACGCCAAGGAAACGCAAGCAATGTTTACTTGTTTAAATGTATTGTGTGTAGGGCATTAACACAAAAAAACACGCACAATATATTTAATATATGTAATGTGCCTGTGGCAATTTGAGGTGGTGTAATGGTTAGCAAGCTTATCACGCTAGAACAATTACGACTGAGCAGTGAGTTCTATCCCCACTGGGTGCCCCTTACTTTCGGCCTTGTGTCACATCCAAGCTATGCTTGGAAAATCACTATTTAACATATGTAAATATGCCTGGGGCACCTCAAGGCGATGTAATGGTTAGCAAACTTATCACGCTAGAACAATTACGACTAAGTAGTAAGTTCGATCCTCACTGGGTGCCTCCTACTTTCGGCCTTGTGCCATATTTAAGCTACGCAAATGTAAATGTGCCTGTATAGTCGGTGAGAGAGTTATGCATTTCCTACTGACGTCAGTAGTCGGTGTTCGGTCCCTGGTTAAAATTTTTTTTCGAACACTTAATTACAAAGCAAATTCTTCTCACGTGGACCATAAGTGAAACACAGTAACCCAATTTTTCACTTTTTGATGATTTAATCCATTAATGCCTACCGTAAAATCCAATATTATCAAAATCCGATATTATAGGGTTTTAAAAACAAAAATAAAGAAAAAAAAAACGGTATTATAGTTTCTACCCTCTTTTTGCAATAGAAGGCCCAAGCGACACTCAAAGTAGAGAGTTACTGAATAGGAATGTCGTGTGGGGCGTTGTAGGGAAGGAGCAAGAGTTGCATATCATGAGGCTATGTCGGATAGGTAACGATTGATCCTTGTAGTGATCAGGGAAGTATTCTCTCGAAACAGTTCTGAAGAAGAAGCTGAGTGGAGTTCCTCACCAATGGAATATGAAGGGAATAAGGATGGGTCGAATGAATGTAGGTGGCTCCTAGTTGTGAAGGTCTGAACTAGTGAAACCAACGAATATAGTTCGTTGGAGCATATGCCATGAAAATAGCGATAGAGTAGCATGAGGCTTCGTCTGTAGGAAAAGAGTGCTGAAGGGTGGAAAACAATTCATCAACCATAAGTCCGTGCAAGCGCTTTTGAACTTGGTCGAGGCTGGAAAGTGACAACTCGAATGCCAACAACCCAAAAATGGGACGGTAGGCATTAATGGGTTAAAATAAGCTTAATAATTATCTGTGTGTGTTCGAAACCATCAATTTGGAATTTGTCGCATTCTTAAACAAACCATTATAAGTGTGCGTGTATGTTTATGTACGTATAAAATCTGAGTATAAACATGTACAGTCTTTAGTGTATTCGTTTATTGTAACACACACACATACACACTCATATTTATATATATATATATATATGTGTGTGTGTGTGTGTGTGTGTGTGTGTGTGTGTGTGTGTGTAATAGATTTTTTTACCCGGCATTTTATTACAAATCTTCTATTTAATGAGTACACATGTTTGAATAGACGTCACTGCTTTTTCCTCTTTTCTTTTTCTTTTTTTAACAATGTAAATTAAAAAAAAATATTTTTTAATCGGTATCATCCCAAACAAGTAAGCAAGTGATTACAGAGGGTGGAGAAATTAGGAACAGAAACATTAATAACGAGTGGTAGAGAAAAGAGTAATCAGGGGGACAATTGATAGCGATTGACATTGCATTTAAATTTTTGCACATTAAAGTTGGCTGGAAAGCATGGAACCAGTAGGGAGTTCCACAAGCGAGAAGTGCGAGAAAAGAAATTGTTAGTATAGAAGTTACGGCTACATCTAACCAGCTCAACTGCAAATTGATGAGATCTCGCCGCCAGTTTAGTACTGCGCTTAAATTCATACAGTCAAGGTATAATAGCAAAGAGCTCATCCGAACAATTACCATGAAAGTATTTTTTAAAAAGTCACAGGGAGTTAACCTAGCGGCGGTGGGCAAATGACTGAAGCCAAACCGCTAGATCAGGACCAATAATATTGCTGATTCTTCTTTGCATCTTATCAAGGTGCTCCAGGCAAATAGCAGGGGCGCCAGGCCATATATGGCAGCAATATTCTAATGGTAGGCCTATAGATATGCAAGATAGATTCCGGAGAGAAAAATTGTCTTGCAAGACACAGTGAACCAACTTTTTAGCAACTGACCTGGCAATGGATTCAATATAGTTTTTCCACTTCATGTCAGCTGAGAACGTTAGCCAGAGAAGGCGCAACGTGTCACTTTCCTGGAGGATAGCATCAGCCATGCTGATGGAAGGCAAAGAGGAGTCTCTCAGATGATTAATGGGGGGAAGTTTAGTTTTGGTGACGTTAAAATTAACAAGCCATCTTTTTCTCCAGTTAACGACGATCTTGAGGTCGTTTTGTACATTGGCTGCCGTTTTGACCTTGTCGGACTGATCAGCCTCACTATGGAGACAGGAGTAAATAGTAGAGTCGTCAGCGTAGATGCCAAGTTGAGAGCTGATGTCATCGAGAAGGTCGTTAATGAAGATTAAAAATAGCCAAAGATGAAGCCCTGGAGGACACCCGCATTAGTACGAAAGGATCTAGACGAGTGACCGTTCAGGATAACTTTCATTTCACGATTTGACTGGATCAGCTGGAAAATGTGCCTAGAGATCCCGTAACTTTACAGCTTGTGGAGGAGACTTGAATGCCAGACCTTGTCAAAGGCTTTCGAGATGCCCAATGTTACAGACCGGGCTTCATCGTTTTTATGTAGAGTATGATAGACTCTTTCCGCAATTATCATCAGTACATCAGCAGTTGACCTGAAAAAAATGAGAGCCGTATTGCTAGTCAGAGAAAAGGCCCTGCAATGAGAGATAATGAACTAATTCAGCATTGATTAGGACCTCTAGGGGTTTCTCCAAAAGTGGTAGAAGGCTAAAATAGATAATAAGATAGTCGGATGGGTCAGGAGATTCACCAAATTTATTTAAAACTGGAACAACAGACGATGATTTCCAACAAGTAGGAGGCAGTGAGGTATTTATTATACAGTTTATAGAGAATAGGAGCCAGTTCAGGAGCACACCTCTTAATGACTATTACAGGGATACCATTGCGTCCACATACTTTGTGGGGATCCAGGTTAGAGATGATAGCAGAAACCATGGAAGGGATTATATGCATATAACTCAACAGAGATTCAGTTCTAAGTAGTAAGTTAGGCAGAAATACTCCAGATGAATCAAGAGTAGAGTTTGAGGAGAATTTACGAGCAAAGTATTCGGCTTTATCAACAGAGGATAACACTTCAAATTGATTGAAGAGGTGGGGGGGAATACAAACCTTGCACTTATTTAGTACCCTATTACAGAGCCGCCAGTAATCACGAGAGCCAAAGTTAAGGGCTATGCGATGCCTCATTCTCTAGGCAAACAGGGGCGTAGCTCCTTCGAGGACTCGCATATATTTATTACGAGCAGCAGCGAATAGGCACCTGTTATGCAAGGGCTATCATGCTGGTATAGCCGAAAATAGTGGCTCCTGTTTGCTATGGCAGCCGAGCATGCTGGTGTGAACCATGAAGAGGATTGCAGTTTCACCTGGTATTTCTGAAAAGGGATGAAAGCGTCCATGCCGGCTTTGACCCAAGAAGAATCCTCAGTGGCGCAATTTTTAATTAAGAATTTGAAAATGTCAGTCCAAGGGACGTCACGAAGAAAATCTCAAAATGAGTCCCAATCAGCATGTTGGTAACGGAAAGAGGTCTTATGGATGGGGTGGGGTACTGTTTAATGGATGCTTGGAAGAAAATATCAATAGCTACTACAGAGTAGTCCGAGTTACCAAGAGGGCAGTATTGCGAAGCTCGACAAGAGCGAGAAGAGGTAAGAAATAGATCCAGTAGAGAAGCATGTTGTTCGGTTTGACTAGGAAAACGAGTAAGGAATTGGGCAATGGAAAAATATCTGCATACCGGCAACATCAGTACCTTTAGAATGTTTCAGCTACTTGTCATAGTGAGCATTAAAGTCCCTGAAGACAAAGATGTTCGCAGGTGGATGGAGAAAAGTTCCTTTTCTATACTTGTCAGCTATTGCGTCTAATATATTGCAGTCTTGGAAAGAGGGGGTGAGAAAGGAAAAAGAGATACCTGACAGAGAGTTTAGTAGCGAAAGACAGAAG